TTTAGTTTAGTTAGGTTAGTACGTTACCTACTACTACTACACACGTACTAACCTAACCTTACTTACTTTTATTTTTTTTTAATTTTTTTTTAGTTTTCTTTACTTTCGTTACTACTCTCTCTCTCTCTCTCTCTCTCTCTCTCTCTCTCTCTTATTTATGCCTCTTAACTCTCAACTTTAATTTGTTTAAAACATTTTTTTGGATCACCAATTCAGACCAATCTAGACCCGATCCGGATTACCGATCGAGTGACCTAACATGGATTTGTGGGTGAACAATCTGCCCCACCGATCCTTATTTTGAAACGTTGGGTATTTTAAGAAGGCCATCTATCTCATTTTCAATCATGTTTTTTAGTATTCCATTATAGAAAATGAAAGATTTTTTCAGTAATTATATGGAATCTTGATATATTGCAATAAATATTAATTGGTTAAAAACTAGTTTTTGCCATTGTGTAAGCAAACTATTATCTCATGAGACTTTTTTTTTCTTGCAATTGGAATCATAATTATTGATTTAGTGTTGAACAATACTTCAGGATTTTATGAAAAAGGTGTTTAAGTGCTTTGACTTGAACACACTTATATTGCTTTTGATGTTGCAAAGCTGTGATTGGGCTGATCTAATCCACTAAGTGATCTAGATGTGGGTTGGAATGTTTGAATAAATGTAAAAAGTACAAAAGAAATTAGAAAACTAAGGAAATACCTCAACAAGCCGATTTTGTGAGAAATGTGGAATCTTATTAATTTGATGGCAACCTTTATAAGGCATACAAATCAGCAGAGATGTATAGACTTCATATAAGGAACCATGAAATGTTCGTTTGCTTGTGCACTGTACTATAGAAATACCACATTACTTCTGGATTATTCTGGAACTTTACATCCCAGATACTGTTCAAAAAACTTTACGTCCCATATAGATTGTCGACTATGATATATGAGGCCTAGGTTTGGAAAATTTAATAACAAAAAAAAAATTCTCTGCGAATGGTAGTTCAACAATGTGCAAAGTGCAAAGTGCGAAGTGCAGATTTGTTGGCATGGATAGCTTTCTTCGAGGTGATGTTGTGGTGGCTTATATTGGTTTGTCTCATGTAAAACTGATTTATGGATGTGTCCTTGTTCAGATGGATGTAGTGAGGTCCTTCAATGAGTCTGATGGACCACCATGGAAGCACTCTCTTTTCGGAAATCCTAACGATCCTGAAACTTTCAGGTGGGCCTAATATGTTATGATTTTAGAGTTCATGGTACGAAAGTGATTGTATAATTAGTAGTTATCGTGGAAGCAATTTCTTTTGGATTTGTTATGTTTTTTAATCTTCTTTTTGGTTGTAATATGTAAGGCCTTTTTTATCATGAATTTCTGGTGGGTTCACAAATTCTTTACCAGTTCTAATTTGTAATTCCCAGCATTTATTTTTATGCTGCATATTTATATATAAATGTGAGAGTGACTGTGGAAGGATCCTGTTGTCTGTTACTTCTGGTGAACTTGCTCGACTTAATTGTTGGTTCTCCCATGCAAATGTTGGTCCTAAATGCCAACCTGCTGCCTGGTCGTCTTTGTGAAGATAAACTGAGGCTGATGAGGGGCCATATGATGTCAATTTAGGAGTTAAATTACTCTCTTTTTTCTTAATAGGTCATATGTTCAAATGCGGGGTGGAGCCCTGGAACAACCTTTAGTCAACAGCTAGACTTCTCTAGAAAACTTTAACTGTGTTTGTCTGTGAAATCCAAAAGGGAAGGTGCTTTCCAGATTCTTGATACTGTGGTTTAGAGCAGATGACATATTAATATTAATTAAAGAATAATATTTTTTTTTTTGAAACTGGTAACTCTAAGAATGTAGTGGTATTTCCTTCATCGTTTTTTTTGATAGGTAATGGGATTTTGTGAATTGAAAAACATGTTCATCATAGATACTTAGATATTGTATACCAAGAAGACACTTCCTTCTCCTAAATGATGTCAACTTTAGCTCTTCGTTTGGAGACAAAGATTCTGTGAGACGTAATGACTGAGAACATTTAACATTTGTAAAAATATTAAAAACGTCCATGTACTTATCTACTTATATTACTTAATTACTGAAAAATAATATTACATATGCTTAATACTGTATACATGCTATGCTTAATATTGAATACTCGCTACTTTATTGTTTTTGATTAAGAGAAGGTTTGACAGCCTTACTTCAATGCAGGAGAAGATGTGAGGTTGCAGAGACACTTGCTGAAAGGAATTTTGACCTGGCTTGCCAAGTAATCTATGAATTCAATCTTCCTGGTACATATGACAATTCATTCTTTTGTAATCCATTCATCATAATTTTAGTTGTATGATAATTCATCTTTTTTTTTAGCTCTTCGTTATCTTTCTAAAGCCAGAACCTTGTGTTTTTCTTTTCCTCGTGGTGTTGGTTTGACACTGTAGAAGTCTATGCCTCACCCAGTACTTTGTTTTCCTTGGTTATTTTGACCTTGAATCTTCTCTGCAGCTGTCCATATATATGCCGGCGTAGCAGCATCATTAGCAGAAAGGAAAAAGGGTAATCAGCTGACTGAATTTTTTAGGTATATCAAAGGCACCATTGAAGATGATGACTGGGACCAGGTAAAGTTCATATTGCTGTTTAGAAGCATCTCTCACTTTCAATGCATCTCATCTTCAGCTATTCTTTGCATCTCTTTTTTCTCGATAAGTATTCATTGCATCTCTTCAACTGGGGCCAATCGAGAGAGAAAGTAACTAATGGACAAGAAATATTGGGAAGAGTGTTCACATGAAAGAAAATAACTACTGGATAAGAAATATAGGGAAGTCTTTTCACATGAAGCTTAAAAAAGTGTTCACATGAAAGATAAAGTTTGAGTTTTCATAAAATCATGCAACCAGAGTTCCAAATATTTGTGTTCATGGAAAAGAAAAAGAAAAGAGGATTATAAAATAAATATGGTTAGTTGGCATATTTTGGATTTGAAGTATGTTAAGTTAAAAAGTTTGGTTCCAGACTTTGATCATTATCCACAGAAATTTAGTTTCCGATGAAATTCTGTGTTGAATTTCCTCAGTTTCTATTTGGCCCCATTTCCTCAATTGAAAGATTGATGTTTTTCTGACCGTCCATTTCAGATTTTCGTATAGTTGCAATTCAAATACTGTTTTCTTTTGGATTTCATGTTCAATTTCATGATTTCTTTACGTGTCCATCTGAAATGAAGACTTCCCCTGTAATTGTGGTTTGGGGAAACTAAGTTGTAAACTGCCTGCATGGTCAAGTTGATTCCAAGAAAGGAGGGGGGTGGGAGGGCAGGAGGAAGTGTGGGAGGGAAGGTGGGTGGGAGGCTGGAGGGAGGGAGGAAGGTGATCTGATCACTTTCCTGATTATTGTCTTGGCTACGGCCATCAATGCATATGCCGACAGGCATATTATAAGTGTAATATTCCTGTGATTTGAGTACTTTCCTGATTATTTGATTATGATTTGAGTAGTTTCCTGATTGTCTAATTATGCAGGTGTTGGGTGCGGCCATCAATGTATATGCCAACAGGCATAGGGAGCGACCGGATCGACTCATTGACATGTTATCGAGCAGCCACAGGTATTCCCGTATGCCATCTCTGATAGATTAAATGCACCGCTGAAGAGTTACAAGTATAAATAGGACAGTTATCTGGGTTGATCTAACCGTTTTTTTATCAAACCAGTGAAAAGAGGGGTGTGATAGCAGATTGTATGGGCCTAAAGTACACTTACGCTTGTATGCAAATCAATGGCTTAATGCCCCTTCATGGATAATTATGCATGAAAGATCTGGTAGTGATTATTCAAAAAAAAGAAGAAAGTTCTGGTAGTGGCTACAATCTCTTGGGTAGAATACACTTCTAGCAACCTGCTTATTGGCCATTATTCTATCCTCGACAAATTCAACTTGAGAAATATTGATCCTAAAGCAAGAACTTGGCCAGATGGGTTTCTATAGAAACAAGATTAAAACGAATGATGATACTCTTCTATCTTTTACAGTTGGGCGCATTCTGAAGCATTTTCTGATCCCAATTGCACTTTTCTACTGTAGCTTTTCATACATTGTGGGTTTTTAAATGTTGCATACGAGATTTCTATGTTCTGATAATTTATCGAGAACAATTTTGCGCACTTGATGCATTTGATTAACCATCATTGAGATGTCTTGGCGTTACAGGAAGGTTTTGGCTTGTGTTGTTTGCGGTCGCTTGAAGAGTGCCTTTCAGATTGCTTCTCGAAGTGGCAGTGTGGCTGATGTTCAATATGTGGCTCATCAGGTTTGCTTTCATCTCTTCCCTCTTTCTAAGCCTTAATCTTCATTACTTGATTGCTTTTTCTTTTTAATTGTTTCAGTACAAAATTGCAGTTTGTGTTCCATGTTTCTTACACTATTCCAACTCCAGAGAATAGCAAAAAGAAAGAAAAATCTTTGATACTCCTTTTATTTTCTTGCTCAAGATTAGGTTCAGCAAGTTGTATCGACTTGTTTTATTGGATATGGAAATACACACAAACAGAGTAGAATCTAGTAATTTATGTTCTAATATTTAATAACCTTTAATACTTAAAACACAAGTAGTAGGAACCAGCGTGGTGCAGTTTTGATAATTTTATACCCTCTAATTTCTAATAATTTATACAAATTATAAAAATGTGCCGAAGATAGAATGATACCTAACAAGAAAAGACAATACAAAAGAAATGAATTAGAAATTTATCAAACTTCAAACATCAACACTTCCCCCCTCCCAAAAAAAAAAAAAATTTATCAAACTACACCTAAGGGATTCAATATTTAGCATCTCGCTCATTCCCTTTGTCCTACTTCCCAGAAAGCCCCTCAAGGTACCCATCATAGAGCTCATATATTGATGGATGGGCAGTTTCCAAAATTTGCCCCTCCATCACAACCAAAGTGACTATAGGAAAACTACCTGTGTGAGATACTGCTATTTTCAAATACCAATATCCCATCCCGCAATATACTATGCTCCCACATGATGAAAACTTTTGCCACTCCATGGAGCAAATGACCTAATGAAGAGGATTTTCTTCATTTGAAATTTTGGGATCCACTTTAGAGTTTAGAATCACTAGATGTGTGTGTGTTGTGGAAGATTTTGAGTACGTAAATGCCTAGGGTGTGACTTTTTGCATATGGTGCTAGAGTGAGTATTATTTATTTTATTTATTTTGCTAGTTTGAGTGGGGCAGATCCCCAAAATTTGGGGTCTTGAAAATACTCATTGGTCATAGCTAGGGTTTTGCATAGTAGCAGACGTATATTTTGGAATTTTTTCCCCTCGGGAAATTGATCAAACTACCCATGAGAGATGTGCTATTTAGCATTTACATATATGCAACTATTATAACTCAATCATTGTTCTTTTCATGGGTATTTTTGATAAATTTCCCTTTTATTAGGGTAAGTATTGAGGCGCGCACACACACACAGAGTATATATATATATATATAGTGATTTCATGCAATGGTTGTATAGTAATATAATGCACCAATCTTTAAAAACCATGTTAGGGCCATTTGTTTTATCCAAATTTTAAAATATATACTCTTTTCATTCTAATGAACAGTTGCAAAAAAGAAAAATTTGAAAACACAACCTAGAAAGTATTTTTCTAGCCCAATTAACATAGGCTGTCCATTTTGATAAGATGCTTAGATCTAGGCCTTAGAAGGAATTTTTCTTTTCCAATTTTTTTAGATAGCTTTATTATCATTAGATGAACAATGTTAAAAAAGAAAAAAATGATTTTGAGTTGTAAAGGCTGTAATCTTGAAACTCATCAAATGAAAGGTCTAGATTCGTTGTTGGAGGGGACTCATTTTGACCATATCTAGGGTTCGAATTGACTTTTTTTTTTGGGGGATTGATTATTGAGATGAGGAGAGTGTGTGTGCAAAATGTTT